AGTGTTATATTTGATTAGGACCTGTCATTTAAGTCGCATAAATAGGAGTTTCAGGAAATTCCTTCTTTCATCTGCAGAATATTGCTAAAATGAGCAATCTCCTGTCCAGGGGTGATGCTGAGAAACTATTCCATGCATTTGTTACTTCAAGTCTGGACTATTGTAATTCTTTACTATCAGGAAGTCAACAAACTGTAGTTAAAAGCCTTCAGCTGATCCAAAATGCTGCAGCCAGAGTTCTGATGAAAATGAAAAAGAGAGATCATATCTCTCCTATCCTGGCTTCTCTTCATTGGCTTCCTGTTAAATCCAGAATAGAATTTAAAATCCTCCTTCTCACATATGAAGCCTTAAATGGCCAAGCTCCATCTGATATCAGAGATCTGATTGTTCCTTATGTTCCTAACAGAGCACTTCGCTCTCAATCTGCAGGTTTACTAGTGGTTCCTAGAATTTCTAAAAGTAGAATGGGAGGCAGATCTTTTAGTTCTCAGGCTCCTCTCCTGTGGAACCAACTACCAGTTTTAGTCCGTGAGGCAGACACCCTGTCTACTTTTAAGGCTAGGCTTAAAACTTTCCTTTTTGATAAAGCTTATAGTTAGGGTGGCTCAGGTTATCCTGATCTATCTCTATAGTTCTGCTGCTATAGGCTTAGACTTTTGGAGGACATAGGGACCCCCATTTCATCATTCTGCTTCATTCTCTGTTCTCCCAGTCTATAATAATTCTTAGTTTAATGTCTAACAATACAGGTGCTGGTCATAAAATTAGAATATCATGAAAAAGTAGATTGATTTCAGTAATTCCATTTAAAAAGTGAAACTTGTATACTATATTCATACATTACATACAAACTCATATATTTCAGATGTTTATTTTGTTTAATTTTGATGATTACAAATGACAACAAATGAAAATCTCAAATTCATCATATCAGAAAATTAGAATATTGTGAAAAGGTTCAAAATTGATGGCCCCTGGTGCCACACTCTAATCAGCTAATTAACTCAAACCACCTGCAAAAGCCTTTAAATGGTCTTTCAGTCTAGTTCTATAGGCTACACAATCATGGGGAAGACTGCTGACTTGACAGTTGTCCAAAAGACGACCATCGACACCTTGCACAAGGAGGGCAAGACACAAAAGGTCATCGCTAAAGAGGCTGGCTGTTCACAGAGCTCAGTGTCCAAGCACATTAATAGAGAGGCGAAGGGAAGGAAAAGATGTGGTCGAAAAAAGTGTACAAGCAAGAGAGATAACCGCACCCTGGAGAGGATTGTGAAACAAAACCCATTCAAAAATGTGGGGGAGATTCACAAAGAGTGGACTGCAGCTGGAGTGAGTGCTTCAAGAACCACCACACACAGACGTATGAAAGACATGGGTTTCTGCTGTCGCATTCCTTGTGTCAAGCCACTCTTGAACCACAGACAGCGTCAGAAGCGTCTTGCCTGGGCTAAAGAGAAACAGGACTGGACTGCTGGTGAGTGGTCCAAAGTCATGTTCTCTGATGAAAGTAAATTTTGCATTTCCTTTGGAAATCAAGGTCCCAGAGTCTGGAGGAAAAGAAGAGAGGCACTTCATCCACGTTGCTTGAAGTCCAGTGTAAAGTTTCCACAGTCAGTGATGGTTTGGGGTGCCATGTCATCTGCTGGTGTTGGTCCATTGTGTTTTCTGAGGTCCAGGGTCAACGCAGCCACATACCAGGAAGTTTTAGAGCACTTCATGCTTCCTGCAGCTGACCAACTTTTTGGAGATGCAGATTTCATTTTCCAACAGGACTTGGCACCTGCACACAGTGCCAAAGCTACCAGTACCTGGTTGAAGGACCATGGTATCCCTGTTCTTAATTGGCCAGCAAACTCTCCTGACCTTAACCCCATAGAAAATCTATGGGGTATTGTGAAGAAGAAGATGCAATACACCAGACCCAACAATTCAGAAGAGCTAAAAGCCACTATTAGAGCAACCTGGGCTATCATAACACCTGAGCAGTGCCACAGACTGATCGACTCCATGCCACGCCGCATTGCTGCAGTAATACAGGCCAAAGGAGGCCCAACTAAATACTGAGTGCTGTACATGCTCATACTTTTCATGTTCATACTTTTCAGTTGGCCAACATTTCTATAAATCCTTTGTTTTTATTGGTCTTCAGTAATATTCTAATTTTCTGATATGATGAATTTGAGATTTTCATTTGTTGTCATTTGTAATCATCAAAATTAAACAAAATAAACATCTGAAATATATGAGTTTCTATGTAATGTATGAATATAATATACAAGTTTCACTTTTTAAATGGAATTATTGAAATCAATCTACTTTTTCATGATATTCTAATTTTATGACCAGCACCTGTATTTCTCTCTGCTTTTTCTCATAGTAGGTCTGTTCCTGTCTGGCTTTGACACCATCCTGGAGAGAAATATACGGTGGCTGAGAAGTGCAAAACACATTTACAATTCAAAAACACATTAACAAATAAAAAACAAAATAACATTTGAAGAAACAAAATTATATTTTATGAAACAAATGTATTTTTGAAAAAAAAGTTTACATTTTTAAAAACACATTTACATTTTAGCAAACAAATTTACATTAACAAATAAACAAAATAACATTTGAAGAAACAAAATTATATTTTATGAAACAAATGTATTTTTGAAAAAAAAAGTTTAAATTTTTAAAAACACATTTACATTTTAGGAAACAAATTCACATTTTAAATCAGTTAGATTTTAGGTGAGAGAAAGTTTCATTTTAGAGAAAAAAAAATACATTATAGGGAAACAAATTTACATCTAAAAAAAAATTGACCGTTCGGAAACACTTGTACAAGTGCAAAGACAAAACTGCAAGTGGCAAAACACATTTACATAGCCAAAAACAAATTAACAGAAGACGGCTACACGGAAAGGGAATGTCCCAGTGGCCGGATGTGACGTCACGATTGCCCGGACTTGTAGTACAAACAGCTCAATCTGTAGTCATTTTAGATGGAAAGAATTGCACTGAAGCTGTTTTTCTTAAGTTTATGCTAACCGAACAATGTTTTCAGCCAATTCACACCATTTTGTTCTTCGTGCGGACGGTCTCTGGAACTTTTACGGGACACGGACCAGGTGGCAGGACCAAGCAGCAGGGCCGAGCTCAATTCGTGGCAGTGGCTGCGGCAGAGCCTGCCATCGGAGTGGCCGTTGTTGCCCGCTGCCGGCAGAGCCTGCCATCGGAGAGGCCGATGGTGGCTGCTGCCGGCCGAGGCCACTTATTCGCAGATAAAGTACTCCGTTCCATCAAGTAAATGTGACATTATAAAAGTTTTAATGCAGTTTATTAAGCAATAACATCACAATAAAAAGAAACCCATAAAGAATACATTTTAATACAGGTTATTAAGCGATAACATCACAATATATAGCCTATATATATATATATATATATATATATAAAACAATCTAGTTAGAAGTACTATAAATAAGGCATTTGCCGAAAAACGGCAGGAAAAATACCCAAAAAATAATTAAATACCAAAGAAAAGTTATTAAAAAACTACATGACAAAATAATAGTGGCTCCGGCCAGTAATACGCCCGGCCCTGCTGCTTGGTCCTGCCACCTGGTCCGTGTCCCGTAAAAGTTCCAGAGACCGTCCGCACGAAGAACAAAATGGTGTAAATTGGCTGAAAACATTGTTCGGTTAGCGTAAACGTAAGAAAAACAGCTTCAGTGCAATTCTTTCCATCTAAAATCGCCGCTGACTTTTCACGTGAAGCAGGAGGACTACAGATTGAGCTGTTTGTACTACAAGTCAGGGTAATCGTGACGTCACATCCGGTCACTGGGACATTCCCTTTCCGTGTAGCCGTCTTCTGTTAATTTGTTTTTGGCTATGTAAATGTGTTTTGCCACTTGCAGTTTTGTCTTTGCACTTGTACAAGTGTTTCCGAACGGTCAATTTTTTTTTAGATGTAAATTTGTTTCCCTATAATGTATTTTTTTTCTCTAAAATGAAACTTTCTCTCACCTAAAATCTAACTTATTTAAAATGTGAATTTGTTCCCTTAAATGTAAATGTGTTTTTAAAAATTTTTACTTTTTTTTTCAAAAATAAATTGTTTCATAAAATATAATTTTGTTTCTTCAAATGTTATTTTGTTTTTTATTTGTTAATGTGTTTTTGAATTGTAAATGTGTTTTTAAAAATTTAAACTTTTTTTTTCAAAAATACATTTGTTTCATAAAATATAATTTTGTTTCTTCAAATGTTATTTTGTTTATTTGTTAATGTAAATTTGTTTGCTAAAATGTAAATTTGTTTTTTAAAATTTAAACTTTTTTTTCAAAAATACATTTGTTTCACAAAATATAATTTTGTTTCTTCAAATGTTATTTTGTTTTTTATTTGTTAATGTGTTTTTGAATTGTAAATGTGTTTTGCACTTCTCAGCCACCGTAGAAATATCAGCTGAGCTGCTGCCATTAATACCTTACTCTCGTTTCTGTCCTACAGCTGTAGCCATAGCTTTGGGCTTAGCCTTCACTGTGTGTTCTCGTTTATCGCTTTTGGCTTGAAAACTGTCTCAGAGCTTGTCTGCTTAACTGTTCCTTTCCTAGACAGCCACCTGTGGAGCCAGTCTAATGTTAAACTTTCTAACATGGCAAGTTTTCATTGATCAGTGCTTCTGTGTTTGTTTTGTATGTTCGTACGTCTGCTACTGTGTCCTTAAACTCCCGGTCTGCAGTTGGCCGCTCATACTGAGCCTGGTTTTACTGGAGGTTTCTATTAATCATCACTGCATGCACACTCAGTGTGAGGCATTGCTGCAGAGTCAATGGCAGTGCAAGAGAACATGTCCATCCAGGAGGAGTGTATCCTGCAAGCCAATACTGAAAACCTGTAAGGAGCTTTGAGATGCCACGTGTTGTGAATTGGCACTAAATAAATAAACGGAAGTTGCCAACAACAGGATAGAGGTAAACTGGTTAAATTCATTTCAGTTTAATTTAAAAGTTTCTTTTATTTTGTGGGAACCTTTTTATTCAAATTTTTTAACTTGAATTTCAAAATAAGAGAAAAACAGAGGAACTGACAATGAAACAGTAGATTATTCACGTTCATTAACACTTCAGCAGAGTTAAGAACAGGAGTTCAGTGCTGTTAGCTTTAAGGTTTGTTTCCCTAAAGGAACATTCTTCATTGTTCAGACACGTGGTTTAACTGAGGGTCAAAGCAGCTTTCGTAAACCTCTGGACCAGAGCTTTATTTTCAGTTGAAGGATTGCCACCGTTATGCAGAACTGCATCAGTCCCTGAGTTTAACATACTGCATGCACAACAGCTGCATGTGCTTCCTGTAAACTTTTAATCCCCTTATTTTAAACATAGGTATCTGTGCGTTATCATTTCATTTATGTTGCATTATACCTTTAAAGGCAGCACTTGAATTTTAACCTCAAGGCAGGTTAGTAGATTTTGGATATTACAAACAAACAAATCTGTATGACTGGTCACCTCTCATGTTTATCTCAAGACAAAAAACAAAACATACAAATTAGAGCTAAAACGTCAGATTTAAATAAAATTAGCAAACAATACAAAAAACTGCAAAACAAAAGAAGATCTCTAAAGGTTTCATATAATGTTGAACACAGATTAAGAAAAAAAAAAATGAAAGAAAAGCCATAAAATAATCTAAACTGACATTCATAATCTTTCTTTGGTCTTTATCCCACAGCTTCTAGTCATAAAGATTAAACTTGGACGATGATAAAGTAAATAATCAAGTTTTACTTCTTTGAAATGATGACATAAAGAAAAAAAAGAAAAAACTTTGCTGATTATAGATTCACTTGGAAACAAAAACATATTCAAGTTAATGGATGCTGACTGGGGGGACAGAGAGAGAAGAATCAGTTAAACGGAAATAAAAACCAAACAGTATGTGCTTGTGATCGGATGTAGGCTCAAACATGGAAAACCTGAAAGATGAAGAGAAGTCCTAAGTGGGGGCCGCCACGGAGCCCTTCTTGTCACTGAAGAAACTCCTTAGAAGCATGACTTGGCCGATGCCGATGACGAACAACAGGATGGTTTCTCCGATCGACCAGTACGTCACGCGCTCAAAGAGATTCTCTGCTTTAGTGCGGTCCTGGGCTTCTCTTAGCCGGTACCACGTCTGTGATTCAGCCACCACCTTCAGGACCTCATGGATGGCGACGCAGGAAGACTCCAGCTGATAGAGGAATATAATAAAATTAAGATCAGAACAAAATGATATCTCATCATTCTGTCAGACCAGCATACCCATAGTCAATATACGTCAGATTTGCAAACGTCTGACACTATATGTGGAAGGAAGTCTACTAGGCTACTTTATTTATGCGTGATATAATAAACTGAAGAGTTGTAGTTGAAGGTAAACACACAAACTTACCCAAAAAGCACACCAAAAGATAAGTAGGATAGTTTATTTATGTGTGATGTAATAAAAAAAAAACTTTTAGTCTGAGGTAAGCAGAATTTAACGCTAAACTGCTTTAAACACAAACAGCCCTGCTTTCTGTGTCCGCTACTTCACACCCTGACGTAGCAGCTAACCTGTCTGATTGTCCTACTGATCTGCAAATGTAACAGAAGTCATTTAAATATCCCTTTGCCCATGCGTGCCCATGCATATCACTATGGGTATGCTGATCTGACAGAACAACGGCATAGTGGTTAGGCCATTGCGCTTGGAATCCAGAGGTTCGGACTTCGAGTCCCACTCCCACAGGCTGCCACTCTGGTCCCTTAGCAAAGACCCTTAACCCCACACTGCTCCCTGGACGCCGCACAATGGCAGCCCACTGCGCCCCAAGGGGATGGGTTAAATGCAGAGAGTTAATTTCATTGCTCTGTACTTGTGACAGTGTAATGACAATAAAGTTGCATTTCATTTTATTCTATAATTAACTATTAGCAAGTTAGCAGACTCCAGCATTAGAAATTCTGCTTTGCTTAACAAGTTCCTGCAGAATAAGACCTTAACTCCCTTGAAAATAAATCAAACTAGGGCTGCAACTAGCGATTATTTTGAAAATCGACCACTGTCAATTATTTTTCTGATTAATCGATTGATAATCAGATTGCCAAATGTTCTTTAAATGTTTTAGTAAATTAAATAAGAATCAGACATACTATAATAATCAATAATAATTGAATAATAAATTACAGTAAACCAGGTGAAACTAAAACGTTTCCACATGAGGAGTTCTGGATAGAGAAAATTGACAGACTAAAATGTTTTTTATTTAATTTTTTATCCTAAATGCATAATGTTTACTTTTTTTGATATAATTACTGCTTTAAGTGGGTCGCTCTGTCAGCTAAAGGCATGTTTTAGAGTCTCTATACTCCAGTTAACGATTAATCTATTACTAAATTAGTTGATGACTATTTCAACAATCAATTAACCCGATTAACTTCAGCTCTAAATCAAAACCAACATTTTCCCTTATCTGATGTAGGATTTGGTCTTCCGATATTAAACCTAAAATGTGGTCCAAATGGGAGTTTTATGCCTCATCCTGTATTTTGGTTTTGTTAAATCATGATCAAGTTGCCAATAAACCTGCAAAGATTTAAAATTTAAAGTTGTGTTAAACTAAGAGTTTCTACTAAACAGTTCCAGGAAGTAACGACTGCACGCATCACATCGCGGTACCTTAATATAAACAGTGGAACAAATGTGTGGAAATACTCATTTAATGGACAAAAGAGCTTTGTCTCCATCTAGTGGACTTCATCCATTGCTGCAGTCACACAGGGTTCTCAGCATCTCAAATTAACAAACCCAAACAGACTTTGTTATAAGGAACTATCAAATCTGCTGTACGAGTTTTATTATCTTAAAAAAATAAATGCAACGTAGCCTACTTCCTTGTTTTTCGCCTGCATAGATGCTCAGTAAAGTACCTCTATTATTGGATATACAGACAAAAGACTTATTTTACAAACTAACTGAGCAAAAGCATAAGTCAGAAATAACAGACAACATGTCAGCAGGACGCGCTCTTCTTTAGGAACAACTTTGTTGCAACTAAAGGGAGCTACTGCCGTTTACATTTGTAAAAAAATATAAATAAATGTGACTTTAATAAACCCTTCAGAGACTAAATAAATGTTGCTGAATCTCAGGGAATCACATGAAGCCCAACATTAGAAAACTTAGAAAAACTTGTTAATAAAAAAAAGTTTTAAGAGTAACTTTTTATTTTTTTTCCAATTATTTATTTATTTATTTTTTCAGTTTTCTTTCAAATCTTATTTTTCTTAGTTTTATTATTCAGGACAGAATATGCATTTCTATTGGCCAGCATGAATTTTAGCAAAAAATAGATACAAAATGTCACTCTCAGATGTTTCTATTTCATTAGGACATTTTCTTTTCTGGATTGGATTTTCTTTTTCTTTAATTAATAATAAAACATGTTTTTGCTTGCATCAATAATGGAGTAATATTTACTTTATAAATAATCAGGGGACGGATAGGTCCAATCAGAGCCATTTTCTTAAAAATGGACACACAGGTCCACTGTTAAAGACTAGCAGCTGTTTTAGAAACATGGTTCTAAAAGGTACCGAGTCATAAATACAAATTCATTATTTGTTACAACCTTCTAAAATGATATACCCTCTACTATCAACTTTATAATTATGTACCTGGTCAGCCGCCTTAAATCCCTATAAAATACAGTGAAGTTTGTGTTTCTAATGGGATGACATGAGGAACTGGTTTATAAACAATAATTTCCTTCTGTTTGTGCATCTGAGGTTTTCTAGCCTCAGCCTCCTGTGACTCGGTCCTGTTGGAAGGTGAAGTTTAGTCTTCTGTGGATTAGCTTCTGGGTTCCTCAGACTTACCTGAGTCAGCGCTGTGCTCCTGCTCATGTTCTCCAGGAGAGGTTGCTCCTCTCCGTGCCGAAAGTCCATGTACACGACTTTATGCGTGAAAGTGGAAAACTCGTTGCTGAAGCAGACCTTGTAGACTCCCTCCATGGCCGTGGTGTGAGAGAAGCTGTCGTACTGCTTCTTCCTTTCGTTATACAGGACGTTGTCGAAGGGATCGGTGACAAAACAATCCACGTCATAGTTGCCTCCTGCAATAACCTGAAAATAAAATCCATAAATATTGGTTTGGAAAAACTAAATGATGATAAAGACCACCAGATCCTGATATCTGGGAATAGATAATCCTCTCCTTTGAATGCCAGCAAAAAGCTGCTAACCATTTAGCTCCAAAAGCAGTAGTTTTATGTTTTAGATGCTTCAAAAAGCTGAATCAGCTCCTCAGCATTTGTTCACCAGGAACCTGCTTTATGGATCAATGCATTTGATCAAGGCATGTCAAACGACGGATAACCTTGGACACAACTGAGATCTGTCTACTGTCACAGACACTGCATCACACTGATACCAAACAGAAAACACGGCACATTTGCACCGTATATATTAATATTGCTCCAAACTTCCATATCAATGCATTTTTTTGCACCATGTTTTTTTTTTCTCCCACACTGTTAAATTTGGTCACTGCTGCACTTTATGGAATTTTAATGTTAATTTACTGTCTGGAAAGCATGCTACTGTTGTGCTTTCCCCAGCGTCGCGCAGCTTTGTCGTCACGCCCTCAAAACCCCGCCCGCTTTGCATCCAAAAATTCAAAACACATCTCTGCGTTGTGATTGGCCCGCCACTTCTAGGGCCTGGGGTAGAGTCCTGCAACGGGTCGGGTACCCGCGGGTCCCCGACGGGTCACCCGCTAAAATGCTCTTTTGCGGGTGAATGTTCTATTAATCAGGCACTGGGGTCACCCTTGCTGTAGCTTACAGCCCTGCCGGCAGTGTGGGCTTCCCTCCAAAAAGGCCACAGTCAGTGCATACACGTCTGCTGCAGTGTTAATGGCGCTGTTCTGCAGCGCAGCGGGTTAAATATCAACGGGTCGGGTCGGGTTCGGATTTGAATTGAAGATATCCGCGGGTGACGGGTCGGGTTCGGTAGTCATCCTAACGGGTTCGGGCGGGTGCGGGTTGGTAAAACTCGACCCATGCAGGACTCTAGCCTGGGGCATTGATCGAGGCTAGACCAACTCGCAGGCAAAAATAATTTTGGCCGCTGGCGGGTGGAGCTAGTTTATTAGGCTAGCAAAACCCCATAATGCACCACAACATCCATCCATCCATCCATCTTCTAACACGCTTAATCCCAAGTGGGATGCGAGGGGTGCTGGTGCCCATCTCCAGCTGTCACTGCGCGAGAGGCGGGGTCCACCCTGGACAGGACACCAGTATATCTCAGGGCAAACAGGACAAACAACCACTCACGCACACACAAGGAGAATTTAGAGAAGCCAATTAACCCAACCGTCATGTTTTTGGACTGTGTGAGAAAGCCGGAGTACCCGGAGAGAACCCACTCATGCTCAGGGAGAACATGCAAACTCCATGCAGAAAGACCCCGGGCCGGGAATCAAACCCAGAACCTTCTTGCTGCAGCAACATATTTTTGCTAAATATTCTAACATAAATTTGCCAAATATAAGAGGAACATCGTAGTTTGGTTTAAATAAAGCATTTTAGTTTTATTATAATTTAGTTTGTCGCAAGGATTTTAGTTTGAAGAAATAGAAAATGACACCATATGCCAACTGTGCATGACAAGGAGGGGTTATATATACTGCATGCATCATCTCGGTAGTTAACCTTGGATTACTTCTAGAGCTACTTGAGTTATTTAGTGTTGCAGGTAGGAGCTTTGGCTGGAGAGAAAGGGCTGGGGGTGATCCCCCCCAACCCAATAGATTTTTGTTACTACCGCCCCTGTAACATAAGTTTGCAGAGCTTAATGACAACTCTAACAATATGCAGGTTGGAGAAGCTACATTTTTACTCCGTCATTTTGCCTTTTCAAACTTTTAATGAAGACAAGCAGCTCTGCTGGTAACTCACCTGAAAGTCTATGTCAAATCTGACACCTTTGCCTAATTCCTCGTAGAAGCACTGCTTCTCGTTGTCAGGGAGTTCAAAGGTCAGCTCCGTCCCAAACACCGCACACACATGCAGCAGAAAGCAGCTCAGTCCCAGCCGAAGCATGGTGGAAAGGAAAATCCAAGCAAAGAGAAGAAAGCTGCAGGAATTGAGGCGCTGCTGACAGCTGAAGCTCTGACGTGGCACCACCTCCAAGGACTTCCGGGGCTGGATTGTTTATTCAGTTTCACTTTTTTCTTAAAATAATTTATTTAAAAAAATAAAATAACACGAAGTGTTTTATTATGTTGGGATAAAACTTTACCAAAAATGAAAAACAACATTTTGTCATGAGAAGAAAAAACTCCGAAAACTTTTACTGTGAGTTAACGGGTTGTTTCAAAATAAAAGCACCATATTTGAAAGCAGTTACATGAAACAGCCTGTTTTACATCAGGTTTAAAAAAGTCCGAAACAGGACATACATTTCTACTTAATACAATATTTTTAATGCACATGTTGGAGATTTAATATTCTAATTAGAAACAAGCAAGTGTTTTTCCTCCCAACAATTCCAAAAAAACATACAAAAAATGAGAAAAAATAGAAACATTATTTTTTATTTGATCAATGATCAATTGATAACTTTTTATTCTATTAATACATTAAATCAGGTAGAGATGCAATTAATTACTAACTTTTTGTATTCTTAATTCTGGACGCATTTCTGCGACGATACCGAATACTGACGCCAGGGGGCACTGTGTTCTCAGAATGATGCTGTTTGGTTAGAAAGGATGAATCAGGGGGTTCCTATCTCCTATCACTCCCCTCCTGTTTCTCTAATTTAGATTATATTTTATTTACACTTACGTTTTGGACACATAAGCGAGGGGCTCGTTACTAAATCAAAAATATAAAAAATAAGAAATTCTTTGAATAAACACGGCCGCCTGCGGGCCAAAGGTAGAACTGCAACCCTCCTCTCCTAGTTTTGGTAGCAGGCGCTCGATTTTCTTTTTAAATTTTTTGTTGAAAGGAAAGCTAAGACTAAACTCATGAGCACACAGAACAAACGTAATAATGTAAAAGGTATTAGAAAATAGTAATATTAATAGTAATAGCATTAATATTATTGTATTATATATAATATTAATAGTATTAATAGTAATAATAGTTTTAGAAAAATCATATGTGCTTGCAAATCTCTTATATCCAACAGAAAAAAAATTAAATAAGTTAAGCAGGTTGTGCAAATTAGCTATGAAATAAATCTATGTATATTCTAATTAAATCATCAAATATTGACCTGATAAAACAAATGGAAAAAGGTTAACGTTGACAAGAATCAAAAATAGAAAAATGAATGCATTTAAATGATCAGAGAGGATATATGAAAAGTAGAAATATGTAGGAGAATGATAAAGAATATATTATGTGGGGTTATTAAGAATCACATTTGGAAATAAAAGGAAAGAGTCTCTAAGCATTAGTGGTAGATATTTTCTTTAAGGATAAAGTTTAATTCATTCTTAAATGCTATCATTGTAGGTTGAGTTTTGGTAAGACAACATCTGTGAGCGAAACATTTGACTATAACAATAATCTTAGGTTGATGGTTCCACATTTCATTGCAGAAGGGGAGAGAAAGTTTTTCTTAAAACATTTAGAAATTAACCAGTTACTGAAAATTAAAAAAATTCTGAAATTAAAACGTTTGAGTTTCTAACAATAAAAATAGATGTTCAGTTGATTCATCTTCTTGCTCAAAAGGATGAACTATATTTACAGTAAATCTAAATTTGGAGCAGATTAATCATTAAGAGCCCCTGAAAACAGGGGCGTAGCCAGAACATTTTTACAAGGGTGGCCAGGCAATAACCAATGTAAACCGAGGGGTGGCCGAAAATAGGCACCAAAACCTCACGGTCAATCTACACTGTTACAACAGGAAAATTAACTAGCAAAACATCCACATTTTCTAAATAAAGACAAACTATACTTTCTAACAGCCTTTGCTAACAAATAGAAAAATAAATTCAAACATCCATGCTTTCTAAATAAAAGGTATAGTGGATAAAATTCTTTCGGGTTTGAGTTCTGGGTAAACATCTTTTCCGCTGTCATTACTTACCGGTACCTACTTTCATCATAATCATTCTGCATAAAACTGATATTTACAAGTCTTAATATCTACATAAATTTATTATTTAATACGTTCGTATTAAAATAGTGATTTATCTATGATTTCACTGAAGATTCCTAGATGACTTGCAGAGACTTTACTCCATAAAATACAATATCTATTTCTGCTTCAATTCTGTACTTATCATTTTAAATGTTAGTATATTTATGTGCATAATAAACCATACAGTTTTTGTTGTCAAGTAATTTTTAATATATGAAGAAATTAAAATGTTTTAAAAATTCCACTTGAGGTTATTACTGTTGCCACCGTCAACACTGTTACCATCCCTACCATCATAAATGCCAATCATTTACTAAGGGTAGCCATGGCCACCCCTGGTCCCCCATCTAGCTCCACCCCTGCCTGAAAAAAAGGAGAACATCGTTGCTTGGCAACTGGTGTAACTGGGGAGTACCAATATGGCGGCCGGTGGCTTTACCCCATCCTGTACTACCAAAATAGGTGCTCTGTTCGAAAACCTAGGACGCGTCCTTAGAAGGCCAGATTCGAAGGCCCATTACGTCATAGCGCGGCGCCGAGGTCTGGTCGGATTCCAAGAGTCCTCGTTATGCGACCTTAAAATGCGTCCTTCTTTTTGCCCGATTTGAAGGACGGGTCCGATGTATCCTTGGTATCCTTCGTTTTCCCAGGATTCATTGCGAGACCAAGCAAGCTGTGATCAGAGTAAAGGTTACTTGGCGCCGAACAGTGGTGAAAATTGGAAGTTCAGTTTAATATAATACAAGTCAGTGAATAGTTTCGTCTGAAATGAATGAAAATAGTTGTTTTAATGGTTATAGAGTCATATATGTGGCGGTAATGTTTGATTTATCGAAAGGTTTTTATCTGTTACTGTGTAAATGAGTTTGGCTGGAATTTAAGGACAGATTCTAATAGATCTGCAGGGTGGGGACTATAAATCTGATAGGAGTTTCATTTTTATTGCTGTTTTGCACAATATGCTTAACTAAGATTTTTTTGTTGTTGAATATTAGAGATTTTGCAGATATTTTTTTTGATACATACATTGTTTAGATTTACTTATATCTTTCTACCTTTTATAGAATAGAATAGAAAATCCCTTTATTGTCCCACAATGGGCAAATTTACAGCAGCAGAAAGATTATTGAAAATGGTCACACAAATGTGGACCTTAGAAAAATGTACAAGAATAACATAATAGGGAAGAGTTAAAAATATAAATACAATTCTGTAAAAAGTTTTTTTTACAATATAAAACTGGAGAATAAATTACCAATATGCAGCTATGGACATTTTTACAGTAATGGATATTTGAAAATAGCAGCAACATCAGAGATGTGCAGAATGACAGCAGCAGGTTATTTAACTGACTAAGGTTTCTATCATTACATTTGATTTGATTGGTTCCTGCTCCCGGTGGTTGGAACCTTTATTCCACTCTGGATTCTCATCAGTCTTTGTTCACTTTACAATAAAAAAGAAAGAAATAAACAAACAGTTTTGAAAACTTCGGTTCTGTAAAGTGCCTTGAGATGACATGTGTTGTGAATTTGGCGCTATATAAATAAACTGAATTGAATTGTCTGTCAACTTTCACGGTTGCTAAGCAACAGAGCTTACGGCGGTAAAACCCGCCGAAGGGTGGACCTGTTTGAAGTCACAGCCAAAACACTTCCGGCCTCCTTATTTTCAAGGACTTTGAAGGATCCAGTCTAGGTAGACCGCGTCCTTGGAGGACCCGTCCTAGGTTTTCGAACAGAGCCCCTGTACTACTAAAGGCTATCAGCGGTCCAGCGCATACGTCTGTGCTTTTGACGGCTACCATGGTGATGATAGCTTCCGGTTCCGGTAGGGAAGGGGAGGCGATCTCAAAAGCGGAATGTGTCGTTTTACTTCACAGCGCCACCAAGGGGATACAGTTCAGCAGTGAGGGGCTTCACGTGGAGTGAGAAGTGAGTAGGGCAAAGGAGTAGCAACCGATTAGGAAAAGGCGTAAATCAGTGCAGATTCGCTGGAATTTGAAAGCGAGTGTAACGGAAAACTAGGGGCGGAAGAAACACGTGCATTCAAATGTCCGTTCCGCTGTTTTGCTACGTCTTCGTCACACTGAGAAAATCCCAAATTAGGAAAAATGAAATGGTAACATAAAAATACTACCGTAAAGATATATTTCGGTTAAAACTTACATAACGCCTCTTTAAATTTAAATGCTTAATTTTTAGTTTTTTAATTAAAAAACTATGCACTGGTTTAAATGAAAATGAAAAGTTTCATCTGTCTTGTTTGGTTTAAACTGAAACTGGAATTTTATTTTGAAAATCCCACGCAGGAGCAGCCCCCCCCCCCCCCCCCCCCCCTTTTTTTCAATGTATAATCGTTACATAATACCCTGGACAGTGAAATGCGCACTAAGGACACTGCTTAAAAGAGGAGAAAACGCAACTTTTTGCACTAATTTAATATAATTAGCTTTCTTATATTAAGAAAAACTGATATTTTGATTAAAAATTTAGTTCAAGATCAAGTTGTATTTTTTCCACAGATATAAGTCATAGTTCTTTGAAGATGCAAAACTACGCAGAAGTTGTGAAGGACTTTGTAGAGAGGCATCCCACTGGTCTGACAATCGCTGCTGTTGCAGGTAAATGTTTTTTTTTTATAATTGTAACAGTGCTATAAAAACCTACTTTCAAGCCTGGAACATTTTAAAAAGGAGAAAGCTGCTTTGGAGAATAGAAACCAGGGGTGTGATATCAAAGCAAATTGTACTTTTAACCCACAATTTTGCATGATCATCATGACAAAGACAATCAATATCTCATCACAGCTGTTTTCCAAGAAGTGAAATATCTCCAAGAATCAGTGACGTATAGTGAAAAGATGCAACATGGTTTAATTACATTACAAGCTGCTGTATGAAGGCCAATGTTAATTCAGTTCAATTCAGTTTATTTATAGAGCACCAAATTCACAACACATGTCATCTCAAGGCACTTTACAGTTCAACCAGATCATACAGTCAAATTGATTCTAAGTTTTCTATCGGAGGAAAACCAGTTGACTGCATCGACTCATTGACTCTTCAGCAATCACTCCAACTAAGCATGCTTGTAGCGACAGTGGAAAGGAAAAACTCAACCAGCAGAACCAGGCTCAGTGTGAGCGGCCATCTGCTGAGGCCCACTGGGGTTCAAGGAGACAGAAGCAGAGATACAAAAAGCAGCTGTAAAAGGCGGCCCCGTCCAGGAAACACACAGCCAGGCAGACGAGCTCCAAGGCAGCTCCCATGCCAGAGGATGAAGAGAGCACATCTACAGGTGCTGGTCATAAAATTAGAATATCATGAAAAAGTAGATTGATTTCAGTAATTCCATTTAAAAAGTGAAACTTGTATATTATATTCATACATTACATACAAACTCATATGTTTCAGATGTTTATTTTGTTTAATTTTGATGATTACAAATAACAAATGAAAATCTCAAATTCATCATATCAGAAAATTAGAATATTACTGAAGACCAATAAAAACAAAGGATTTATAGAAATGTTGGCCAACTGAAAAGTATGAACATGAAAAGTATGAGCATGTACAGCACTCAGTATTTAGTTGGGCCTCCTTTGGCCTGTATTACTGCAGCAATGCGGCGTGGCATGGAGTCGATCAGTCTGTGGCACTGCTCAGGTGTTATGATAGCCCAGGTTGCTCTAATAGTGGCTTTTAGCTCTTCTGAATTGTTGGGTCTGGTGTATTGCATCTTCTTCTTCACAATACCCCATAGATTTTCTATGGGGTTAAGGTCAGGAGAGTTTGCTGGCCAATTAAGAACAGGGATACCATGGTCCTTCAACCAGGTACTGGTAGCTTTGGCACTGTGTGCAGGTGCCAAGTCCTGTTGGAAAATGAAATCTGCATCTCCAAAAAGTTGGTCAGCTGCAGGAAGCATGAAGTGCTCTAAAACTTCCTGGTATGTGGCTGCGTTGACCCTGGACCTCAGAAAACACAATGGACCAACACCAGCAGATGACATGGCACCCCAAACCATCACTGACTGTGGAAACTTTACACTGGACTTCAAGCAACGTGGATGAAGTGCCTCTCTTCTTTTCCTCCAGACTCTGGGACCTTGATTTCCAAAGGAAATGCAAAATTTACTTTCATCAGAGAACATGACTTTGGACCACTCACCAGCAGTCCAGTCCTGTTTCTCTTTAGCCCAGGCAAGACGCTTCTGACGCTGTCTGTGGTTCAAGAGTGGCTTGACACAAGGAATGCGACAGCAGAAACCCATGTCTTTCATACGTCTGTGTGTGGTGGTTCTTGAAGCACTCACTCCAGCTGCAGTCCACTCTTTGTGAATCTCCCCCACATTTTTGAATGGGTTTTGTTTCACAATCCTCTCCAGGGTGCGGTTATCTCTCTTGCTTGTACACTTTTTTCGACCACATCTTTTCCTTCCCTTCGCCGCTCTATTAATGTGCTTGGACACTGAGCTCTGTGAACAGCCAGCCTCTTTAGCGATGACCTTTTGTGTCTTGCCCTCCTTGTGCAAGGTGTCGATGGTCGTCTTTTGGACAACTGTCAAGTCAGCAGTCTTCCCCATGATTGTGTAGCCTATAGAACTAGACTGAAAGACCATTTAAAGGCTTTTGCAGGTGGTTTGAGTTAATTAGCTGATTAGAGTGTGGCACCAGGGGCCATCAATTTTGAACCTTTTCACAATATTCTAATTTTCTGATATGATGAATTTGAGATTTTCATTTGTTGTCATTTGTAATCATCAAAATTAAACAAAATAAACATCTGAAATATATGAGTTTGTATGTAATGTATGAATATAATATACAAGTTTCACTTTTTAAATGGAATTACTGAAATCAATCTACTTTTTCATGATATTCTAATTTTATGACCAGCACCTGTAGTTAGTCACAGTCAGAGAAACAGGACTACACTGAAAAACAGGCCAAGCTCCAACATCTAGAAACAAAGGTGTTGATGGCAGCAGCACAGCTGATATTTCTCTCCAGGATGGAGTCACAGCCAAACAGGAACAGACCAGATGAAGCTACTATGAGAAAAAGCAGAGAGAGCAGAACGTTAGAGATTGAACTAACAGATTCTGCAGAGTGGGAGAATAGAGATAGAATGAAGCAGAATGATGAAAAAGGGGTCCCTACGTCCTCCAGCAGTCTAAGCCTATAGCAGCAGAACTATAGAGATAGCTCAGGAAGTTAACGTGTTCTTTCCCTCCATTAGGAATAGGGATTCTCGGTTTGAGAAGATGGATGGCAGGAGGGGTGTGTCGGAGCAAGGCCAGGCTGGATGGGAAAACAGTGCTGATTACCGGAGCTAACACTGGCATTGGGAAGATGACAGCCATGGATATGGCTCAGAGAGGTGAGACCTTCATCCACTGGAGAGAGGAGTTACGGTTCCCCATTTATTTATTTAATTTAACAACAAAAACAACTAGAAAATATGTTAATTTGAGCTGGCTTTACTAAAAGGCTCAGAGGTTTTGAATGGATAGTCTATGCAAAGGTCAAAGGTGGTTAATATCTTACCTGGACGCTTGATTTAGAAGAAGCTCCGATTACTTTAATCCAGCCTAACAGCAAGTCTAAGAACAAAACGGGACCTCTGCCACAATTTTCACAACTGCAGTCCCATCATAGATTAATCAACCTTTTACCAAAGTCACATCTGGATTGGATAACTGTTTACACAGATGGACTATTTACACTGGAAATGAAGGTTGAATGAGGTAAACATCCAATGACAGTCCTGTAAAAACGCACACTGAGAAAATACAATTAACAGTCAAATGGCAGTCTGATATAAAAGGAAGGAATGGATTAAATATTGTTCTATTATGTTGAAAATGAAGTTGTATGTGTTGATATTTTGTAAAGGGAAATTCTTCAAAAAAAAAAAAAATACAATCCAGACATTAAACTTAATAATTGAAAAATGTAACTTTGCTGTTGTCACAGATTTTATTCTTTAAAATATTTTTTTCTTATATTTTATTTCATTTTTTCAAATTATTTTCATTACAGATTTTCAAATCTTCAATTCAATTCATATAACGCCAATTTACAACACATGTCATCTCAAGGCACTTTACAGTTCAACCAGATCATCCAGTCAGATTGATTCAAAGTTTTCTATCTAAGGAAAACCAGCTGATTGCATCGACTCATTGACTCTTCAGCAATCCCTCACACTAAGCATGCTTGTAGCGACAGTGGAGAGGAAAAACTCCCTTTGAACAGGAAGAAACCTCCAGCAGAACCAGGCTCAGTGTGAGCGGCCATCTGCTGAGGCCCACTGGGGTTCAAGGAGACAGAAGCAGACATAGAAAAAGAAGCATAGATACAAAAGGCAACTGTCAACCAGCTCCACAGGCGGCCCCGTCCAGGAAACACACAGCCAGGCAGACGAGCTCTAAGATAGCTTATCATTAACATGAACAAACTGAATTCGATCAGATAGATCAGATTTAAACCAGTCTAGTGCTGTTCCTTTAATTCCAACAAAATATTCAAGTCTTTCTAAAAGAATATTATGGTCAACTGTATCAAATGCAGCACTGAGATCCAACAGGACGAGCACAGATACAAGTCCATTATCTGAGGCCATGAGAATATCATTAGTGACTTTCACCAGAGCTGTTTCAGTGCTATGATGAGCTCTAAAGCCACACTGAAACTCTTCAAAAAGTTCATTATGGTGGAAGTGATCGCAAACTTGTTTGGCAACTACTTTCTCAAGAATTTTAAATAAGAAAGGAAGATTGGATATAGGTCTATAATTGACCAAGTCATCTGGGTCAAGAGACGGTTTCTTAAGCAGAGGTTTAATTACAGCAACCTTAAAAGCTTTAGGTACATATCCCTGTAACAGAGATAGATTAATCACATCTAAAATGGAGGAGGAGATCAAAGGGAATACCTCCTTAAATAACCTGGTTGGAACTGGATCTAACATACAAGTTGAAGGCTTAGATGAAGACAATAATTTTACTAACTCTGAAAGTTTAACTGGATCAAAGCAGTTTAAACCCGGTTCAGATTCACATTTTAGTTGTTCAGATTATCACAAATCAAGTCATTAACTAGCTGACTTTTTGAGGAAAGAGGTCTTATGTTAAAAAAACCGATTTTAATAGTTTAAACTTTTTCCCCCGATTAGATTTATTTTAATTAGATTATTATGATTTAATTCTTTTGGATTCTTTATAATACATTTTATTTTGTTAATGGGCAAGACACTGTCTTATTAATACTTTTTCTAAACCACAGCAATTTAACTTCCAAAAACTAATAATTGAGTAAAGAATATTAAAAACATAAAATGTTTCAATTCTCAAAAAACATGAAAAATGAAATATATACAAAAAATAAAACATTTATATTTAAAAAATAAAATTAAAGTCCTTTTTTTATTAAAAGGTTTTTCAAGGTATAATTTCTAGATTGAAGTTGATTATAAATACACTAATTAGTTGGGGAAGTAAAATTTTAGAGACTTGTTTTAACTAGAAGATTAGATGATATCTCCTCACTTTTGGTCCGTATAGATTTGGATTGAGGTTGGGATTAAGAAGGGAAAATGTTATCCCAGCTTTTATGGGATTCATTGCAATGAATGTGATAAAGTCAGATCCGCTGCAACATTAGAACAGAAGAAACATTTCAAGTTCTCTAACGAAAAAAAAAAAATCCTCACCTGCCTTTAAAAGAAATCCTAAACCCCTAAAGTTTTAGAGTAAAAACACAATTCCCGATGCATACTTATGGAGTGAATTTGGTTCCATTATTGTTGCAAGCAAAGCACACGGTTTGCAAATGAAGTTTGAAGAAAAAAATGCAACCCAGAAATAAAAGTTTTCAATTTTTTTTTCAGATTATAACTTTTCAATTTCCTGTCTTTTAAATATTCTCTATAATTGTGCATTAAATATTTTTTAATTTAATGTAAAACTCAATCTGAAAAATAGAATTTGAAAATAGTTAAATAGAAAAATACTAAATTTGCAAAAATCAAATGTGGGGAAAAATAAAAGGAACAGAAGCAGCACATTTTCCCCCATATTGTGACTTACCACCGAGAACTAGAGCTAATTTAATTCTTTTGGATTCTTTATAATTTATTTTATTTTGTTAATGGGCAAGACACTGTCTTCTTATGTTGTACAATCGGGTTCTTTTCAAATGTCGTTTGCAGATCACATTCTCTTCACTTCAAGCCAATACGTGCGCTCACTGTTGAGCGATAGAAATGCTGTTGTCATTGTCCCTGCAGACCAATAGAAATGCGTCTTCGCTCCTTACTCCAGAGGAAATCCCGCCCCCAGAGGTGAAGAGAATCGGATGAATAAATGCAATTTACAAAACTTTTTCTAAACCACAGCAATTTAACCTCCAAAAACTAATAATTGAGTAAAGAATATTAAAAACATAAAATGTTTCAGCACTCAAAAAACATGAAAAATGAAATATATATATATATATATATATATATATATATATATATATTAGAAAAAAACATTTATAAAAAAAAATATATTAAAAATTTAAGTCCTTTTTTTATTAAAAGGTTTTTCAAGGTATAATTTCTAGATTTAAGATGATTATAAATTCACTTACAAAATCTACTCTTTTCTTACAACAGTAATGAAGCTAATTCACTGCATAACAAAGCTGCATAAAATGAACACATGTTGCCATTGTCATCATCAGCTAGTCTGTAACTGAGCGTATGGAGCAAATATTCAGCAACTTTTAAATCCTTTTCTGTTTTAATCCACCTTAAAGTAATGTTTACAAGTTCTGCAGAGGCCGGCTTTGAGTAATTTAGCTGAGAACAGCTGAAATTGGGTTCTTTGTAGCCAGAATTATTGGAATATCTCACTGTTAACCATCAAGGTGCCAGGGTGATCATGGCCTGCAGAGACATTCCCAAAGCCTACACTGCCGCAGATGAGATTCGACAAAAGACTGGGAACGGTAACATTGTGGTGAAAAAACTGGACCTCGCTTCGCTGAAGTCTGTCAGGGAGCTGGCCAAATACGTCCAGGAGAACGAGAAACGCCTCGACGTCCTTATTAACAATGCAGGTCTGTGGCACAACTTCAAACTTTGTTTTCTGTTGCAACAACTCAGTTAACTGTTTTAAATCTGCTGGTTATTGCATTGATTTAATTCCATTTTCCTTCCCACTAAGGTATTATGATGTGTCCTAAGTGGAAGACAGAGGATGGTTTTGAAATGCAGTTCGGGGTCAACCACCTCGGACCTTTTCTTCTTACCAACTGTCTCCTGGACCTGCTGAAGAAGTCGGCTCCAAGCCGGGTTGTCGTCGTTTCAAGCGTCGCTCATGTGACAGGTTGTTTTTTTCCACATTTCACAAAATATATTCCAGGTTTGTTACCGTTTATGGATTCTAGAATATGATTTTCCTGCAGGTAGCATACACTTTGATGACATTAACCTGGACCGAAACTATGATAATTTGGTGAGCTATCGACAAAGCAAGCTGGCAAACATTCTCTTCGCCAGGGAACTGGCTGCAAGACTGCAAGGTGAACATATGTCCTCACTTCCAAGTAAACTAATTGTTCCACATGTTGATGTTAACATTTATAACGATGGGTTCTTCCTTTAGGCACTGGAGTTACAGTGTACAGCCTTCACCCTGGTTTCATTCGCACTGAGTTAGTGCGCCACCTGTTTCCCCAGTGGGCTTGGTGGAAGAAGATGTTAGCCTCTGTGGCAATGATGATTGTCAAGAGTCCGTGGGAGGGAGCGCAAACCACCATCTACTGCGCCGTGGAGGAGAGTCTGGCAAACGAGAGCGGCCTCTATTACAGGCAAGTGAATGTGTGCGGTGATAACGGCAACTTTTAGATGCGCTGCATTTTTATTAGGGGTGGAACGGTTCACAAAATCCACGGTTCGGTTCGGTTCACGGTTTCGTGGTATATGTTTATTGTTACACATCTGCTACGCCCGGCTACGCTGCTTCACTTCTTCTTCTTGTTTACTACTAGGGGTGTGAATAATAATCGTTTTGTATCGATGCATCGATCCAACAGCCGACGATCCGATGCATCGACACGTCCGCAAGAGTATCGATTCAAGTTTTTTTTTTCCTCCGGTTTATTTCTATCCATTTGCTCCTGGGCGTAATTCTCCCTCCCGTGCTGCGGTGGTGCTAAACCTATTTTGCCCTCCTACCTCGCTTCCTGGTTATACTCCTGCAGCAGTGTGTTGCAGTGAGCTTGATGCAGACATTTTTAAATTATGCTCAATATTGAAGCGTGGTCTGAGCTACACGCTGTGGGTCTAGAGACGGCCGAGGAGGAGAGGAAGTGGGGGCGAGTTTAGTCCGACGACGGAGGGACATGAGGGCCAAAAAGAGCGGAGATCCAGGTGGGAAAAGGCTCCCAGCGTTCTCGCGCACCTCGCTCTGCTAGCGGGTCAAACTTCATGAGTTGTTTTCCGCAATTTTGGTCATAGAAACAATGTGCAGTATTTTTGCAGTAATTTTTGATGCAACTTTTCTACTTGTGTTATTTGCTGTTGTTTCTAAAAAAAAAAAAAAAAAAAAAAAAAAAAAGCAAGGCAAAACGATATTACAGCTTTCATTGATTTATTTCAAACTTGAAACTTTGTTTAGCCTGTAAGGTCTAAAAAAAATTTAATCGATTAATCGTATTGTGGTGTATTCTTGCGTATGGAAAATAATCGAACCGTTGGGTCAGGAAATCGATACTGAATCAAATCGCCATGATGGATGTGATTTACACCCCTATTAACTACTGGTGGTTGGCTTTGGTCGCAGTACTGCCACCTTCTGCTCTGGAGTGTAAACGCTTCGCCTATGAGAAAAAGGAGCAGCGCATGAACCGAACGAAACACACGTGAACCGAACCGAACGTTTCGGACGGTTTTCATAAACCGTTCCATCCCTAATTTTTATGTGAAATGGTGGTTCCAACTTTAACCTCCCAGCGTATCATTGTAGTTGCAGCATTTTGACATCGTTCTCCTCTTTAATTTGTTCTCCTGTGCAGCGACTGCGCTCGCAAACAGCCAGCGGCTCCAGCTCTGGATGACGCCGCCGCCAAGAGGCTGTGGGAGCTCAGCGCCTCTATGGTCGGTCTTTCCTAAACGTGTTCGCTGCCTCCTACCAGCGGAGATGGTAGCACCCTTTAACATGGAAGAGCTCTTTTAATTCATTATCACTTTTGCAATCACTGAAAAGCATTTTATTAAGATGTTTTTACAAGCATTTATATTGGATCACTTAGATGCTTTCAGCACAATTATTTGCACTATTTTTACTTTATTCCAGGGAAGTCTTGCCTGATATAAAGAGGTGCTAAGCTTTATTTTGATACCATGAACAAAATGTGTTCAACATGTTTTTTTTGGTGTAAGAGTGAATATAATAGTGAAAACACGGTGGGATGTCGGAACCCAGATGTACAACAGGATGCAGAATGGGTTTTGGTTCTGTTTCATTCCACTGCAGCAAATGAGATGCTAGTTAAAGCAGTTAAAGCAATCATTCCAGGCGTATCCTAACTTTTGAAATTTTGCTCTTACAAAAAAACTCCCCAGAAAAACAACGAAACTAAATTCCCTTTAAAAAAAACCCAAACGTCTCTTTCTGGAGATATTGGGGATTTTTACTAATCCTTTTAAAGCATTTACGAGTTATGACGTCTAAATCTCAGGTTCACTGTAGTTGTTTTATGTAGAGTAGTTTTATATAGTTTTGTATCAAAAGGGACAAAAATACACAACTAAAGCAAAATCAACTTTTATCTGGTACAGCAAAATTCATCAGCCCTCTTCTTTTCCTATTATTTCTTTAAATAACAAAACACACTGAAACCAGGGCCGATCCAAGCCTCATGGGGCTCTAAAAAAATATTTTGGGGCCAATCACATCTGTTGCTACAATGGACAGTCCAATGATCAAAAAACAAACTCATTGCAGATCTTGCATTGATTTTTTTCACAGTCCTCTATATATATGCATTGTGAATAAGTAATTATTTTGATGTAAAAATACATCTAAATTTTGTTGCTATATTTACATAGAAATCATTAAACCCGCCCCAATTATTTGTTCTTAGGGCCCCTAGTTGCCCTGGGGCCCTAAGCACTCAATTACTTTGCTAATGCTTGTGGCCGGCCCTGGACTTTATAAAACTCTGTAAAATGAGATAAGACTGTTTTTCTGTGGAGGATATGGTAAATAAAACTTCCACTGATCGTCCAGCTAAACAGGAGGCACTTCAAAACTAATCCATATTATTCCTTTATCACTACAAAACACTCATTCTTAAACTCTGTTATCTAAATCTCTGTTACATTGACTGAAAACTCCAAAACATAAGATTTTGTACCGTGTTATTGTCGTTGGAACATTCAAACTAACTAATGTAACTGTGCGTTTTAAATGCCTGTTTAATCATAAATCTCAGGAAATGTCGACTCATCAAAAAGCTTTAAACTGCAAAAAGAAAACTAAGAAGGCAGCTGAACAGAAATCAGCCACTAATTCCACACACTGGAGGGACAATGTTGTAATCTACTCCACATGAGCAGATTTATGAGATTAGTGAAGTCACCAAAGCAGGACTAAAAGTGCCAAATCAAAGGACACTTGTGTCCCATTAAATTGGGTCAATACTCATATTAACAAGATAAAGGTTTGCAGGAAAAATACACTAATTAGTTGGGGAAGTAAAATTTTAGAGACTTGTTTCAACTAGAAGATTAGATGATATCTCCTCACTTTTGGTCCGTATAGCTTTGGATTGAGGTTGGGATTAAGAAGGGAAAATGTTATCCCAGCTTTTATGGGATTCATTGCAATGAATGTGATAAAGTCAGATCCGCTGCAACATTAGAACAGAAGAAACATTTCAAGTTCTCTAACGAAAAAAAAAAAATCCTCACCTGCCTTTAAAAGAAATCCTAAACCCCTAAAGTTTTAGAGTAAAAACACAATTCCCGATGCATACTTATGGAGTGAATTTGGTTCCATTATTGTTGCAAGCAAAGCACACGGTTTGCAAATGAAGTTTGAAGAAAAAAATGCAACCCAGAAATAAAAGTTTTCTATTTTTTTCAGATTATAACTTTTGAATTTCCTTTCTTTCAAATGTTCTCTATAATTGTGTATTCAGATTTTTTAAATATTTTTTAATTGAATGTAAAACTTAATCTGAAAAATAGAATTTGAAAATAATTAAATGAAAAATATAAAATTTACAAAAGGAACAGAAGCACAAACCTCCGCCAAGCAGCACATTTTCCCCCATATTGTGACTTTCCACCGACAACTAGAACTCACACATGATCTGGATCATTAGCAAGTCTTAATAAATTGTTCCTTTGCATGAGAAACACCTCTGATAACAAATTCCTATTATAAGTTTATAAATTAGGCAGAGTTTGTCTGCAGCCTCTGGTGTTTGTTCTGCTCTCTCCTTCATTTACTCTGCTTTCTACTTTTATCAGCGATTTGAGACTTTGAGCGAGGATGGCTCACATTTCCGGTGTTTTTGTCTGCAGTATAATACTTCTGGACTATTTTGAGTCAGATGATGAGGCTGTCAATAGTCACTGCTTTTGGTTTTCAGGGGAACTGCTTGTTCCGCCAAATAGTGTTAAAGAATATTTTAAAATGTTCCTGCATCCGGGTAATGATGTGGATCATCACCACATTTTTCATGGCTTGTTCCTTCGACTGAGATGCATCTTTGTTAAAAATTTCCTTGAAATCTATTCATTACTTCTCAAATTATCCTGCAAACAGACAGACAGACAGACAAGAGCAAACAAAAACTAAAGCATAAAAAAACGTAACTTCCTTGGCGGAGGTAATTCAAGAAAAATAACAACAACAAAAAACATGTTATCTAACAGCAAAGTTACATTGCATTTTATTTAGATTTCTGTTTTTTTATTTATGGATTGCATTTTTTCCCCCTCAAATTTCCATAAAAACAAACTTTTTTTGCAACAATAATAGAACAAAATTCCCCCCATACTTAATTCCAATCATGAAAGTTCAGAAGGTTTAGTGTTTTGCCAAAGCCATCAAAAAACTGTTTTAAAAATGTGGTACCTATAAGGAAACTGGCATTTCACATAGAGGTAGTTATCCTAAAACCAAGGCAGCTTCGCCAGGCTATCAACGCATCCCACTGCACACATAATTAGGATTAAGATGCTGTAGTGCATTTACCATTCATCGATGATAATTCCATAATGCAATTCTTTAGGTTTCTTTAAAACATGTATAAAAAAAACCCACGAAAGACAGTTAAGGCTTTCAAATCTCTTTAATGTTATTTAGCAATGACAAGCCTACATCAAAGACAGTTATTGGTTTTCATTTTCGGCTCTGTGCCTGTTTCATAAGTCAAGCCGGTTATGTTTAAGAAAGTAGCTGCCAACCTGTGCTGACAGCATTTGGAGGATTGCTGCACTGCAGAGGAGATGAGATCCTGGGAATGGAAATGGCTGCAGGGCTCAGAGCAGAAAGGAAGAACAGATGAAACCAAGAGGATTAAACAGCTCAACCTTTGCTTGAGTTCATGTTTGGGATGTTCTTTGTCTTCGAGATCAAATCTGTCAGTGTGTGACGATGCTATGTAAGCTCACATGGTGCTAAAGTGAGCGTACAATATGAAGCCGCTTCCACTGTAATATCCTCACCAATAAAGTAAAAAAAAAAAAAAAAAAAGGACTTTTGTTTCACTTTTTAAAGCCAGTTTTTAAAAAAATCATCTATTTAAATGAGAATCCTGATCTACATCATAACATAAAATTCAGGATTAGATTTTAAACTTCACATGAAAAACTGCTGAGCTCAGTCAGAATGTAACAACGCAGCGAAATTACTCACCACAGCAAACAGTTAGCGGTTTATGTCGGCCATGCTGCATCATGTCAGGCTGTTACAGGAAATTTCTGCTTTGCAAAGTTGACTAACAAAGTATTAATACTTTGTTAGTCAACTTAAGTAGAAATGTTGGTTATCTGTACTTTACTGGAGTAATTATTTTTAGACAACTTCTAACTTCTTAGACTTCTTAACATTTTAGAAATAGACTCATACATTTTTTTTTTTTTTTCATTTAAGCTCAGATTCATGATGGCCTTTTGGTATATATATCAACAACAAAAAATACATCAAAATAATTGTTTTTATCCAGACAATTAAGTATTTCTTTGTGGTTGGATTTGGTGCTCCCCCAACTTGTTGTTCACCACATACCAAAATAAATAGTTTGCAAAGTTAAATTTGACACTATTACCAATTGTTATAAAACTAAGAAAATGAAGTCTAAGGAAGTTATCCAGAATTGTACAAAAATGCTGATTTAATAATGTGGTGCAGTTAAGATTCTCTGCTTAACATGTTTTTCCTGCATTATTTTTATACTTTAAGTAGTTTTAAAAATGTAAATATTATAAGTTGATCATCTAACTTCTATAAAAGTGTTTTTAAACAGTAGGATTTATACTTCTACTGAAGTAGTAAACATTAATACTTTTGATATCTCAAAATGTAAAAAAAAAAAAACAGGTCTTTCAACTCAAACTAACACTTAAATCATTCTGAAAAGTTTTACAAAGGTTAACGGAGATAGAGTGTTTAAGTGCGTACAAATTTACGATTTTAACCATTTATTCATCGTCATCTGGGGTAAATAAGCCCAGAAATGTCTCCACAAGCTAAGTCTGCTCTCCAGAACCGACCTGAAGGGAATGTCAGGCACATGCCCTTATCAGTTCTCCGTCCAACGGGTACAGTACCTAAAGCTGGGCTGGAAAAGTGATAAGGAGATGTGGGTGACCACAGAACAGCAGCAGCATCTGTTTACTCTCTGTGATAGCAGCATGGAGTTCCTGTTGTCTCTGAGATGAGAGGAGTTAAGAGAGTCCAAGCAGAGGTTTCCAAACTCAACCATCCCTATCCACCAAGCCCCATCCTTCTTCAGAGTCAATGAGGTATCCATCTCCGCCAGTCCCTCGGGTTCCCACGTTTTAAAGGACTGGCTCCGCTCTAAGCAGACAAAGCTGGTTCCAGCAACACCGGGCCCTTCTCTGTTCGCCTGCTGACAAACTTTGGGGACACACCCCATTGATGAGTTTTATTTCACCGGAGCCCCGCCTGGCT